GAGGAAAACTTCAAGGAGTTATAAAGTAATATAGGGTGATTATAAAGAGATGATTTTGAAAAGTTTTCAGAAAGAGAAAGAGATGGTAAGGTAGTTTTCACGCTATATTGAACTTTGGGTTCTTTGGGAAATACAGCAAAACAAATTTAAAGTATTTCATAATATATATTTCCCCTTGGAATTATTTTACACAACATAAATAAATATCCGATTAGTTGTTCATTAGTTTGGATGTTGATGTTGAGTTTTTTAAAACCCCCTCTCCTACCCCTCATCTGGCTATCTGTAATAAAATGTGCTGTTCTTTAAGAAATGCTTAACTTCAAGGAAATTACAGAAAGTTCTGTAAGGCCCAGATGCTATCTAACTGTGTCAGGGATTACAACATTCCTGTGGTTTTTAGCTTTAAAAGCTTAATCCCTCAGCTGTGAGGCACGCAGTCTCCAAATTGGCTCCTGGGGATTGCTTTGCCAAGCCTGGCCTAAGATAAAGCCTTTGCTCCCCAAATTTAAAAAAAAAAATGTAGATCTGTCCTGAGAAATGTCCAGTCTCACAGGGTTACACTGACCATAGCTTTTTGAATATACAACATAAATTAGTCTAATCTCTGCATAATTTTTTAAATCATTGTTACCATATTTATTATTTCCATTTCAATGGGACTTAATAATACTGCATAGGTTCTTAATAAACATTTGGCAGACATCAAATTCAAAAGTTGTCACAATTTTCTTTGTGTATCATGTCTATACTCAAATCTAAAGTTCAATTGTTAGTAGACATTGGAGTACTTGATGATGGGAGAATAAATTTTATCTTTCTCTTTCTTTTGCATCTTTACCTTAAACTATATCTTCCGTTCATCTTTAATTCTTCCCTGCTACTGAACGGGTGATAGCAGCTGCCTTTCTGCCCAAACTTAATCTATTTCTGTGCTCTTGATTTCATGCTCTTTTACCTTTCCAGGCATCTAATCAATAGTTAACTTCCCCTCTCTTTCTTGTGCCATCCCTCTTTGTTTTCTGACTCTTATTTCTCACTCTACAAATGAGCTTGAAACTTTGGAACGCCTGTCAAGATTTTTGATCTTTCTCCTCCTTATGCAATTATCTTTGAAGATCATCTACATCCATTTCGTTACCTCCCAATTTACTCTGTTCAGTATCATCTACATCTGTTTTATTACCTCCCAATTCACTCTATTCAGTAATACTCACTAGACTCATTAAAAATATGCTCTCCTAGCCCAGTCACACAGTTCGACCAAATTGAGCATTGATTATAAAGCATATTTAAAGTACTGTATTCGAATGGGTTTTACAGAGAACATCATCTCCCATAGGTCTCACCAGCTTATAAGCAGGGATTTCAAGAAGATTAGACAATGAAGGCATTACAGCTGTTAACAGCTGATTTGCTGTTAGGAGGTGGGGTCTGAGCAGAAAAGGCTAATCAGTGGGGGCATGATCTGAAAGGAAATATCCGTCTCCATGTCTCTTCTCTTCTCTCTGCTTTGTGACATGAGTAGCTTTCCTCTGTCAGTTCCTTCCACCTTGTACTTATTGCTTTAGAGCAGGATGACTATGGATTGAAAACGTGAGTCAATAGAAATCTCTGCTCCTCTAAGTTGTGAGCATCAGATAGCATGCCCCAATGAAGAGAGAGTGACTAAAACAGTATTATTGGAAGCTAATCTTTAAACACTGTGAACAAAGATGTACAATGCCCCAACTACCCACTGCTTTATTTTGTCCTGGTTCCAGGACAAAATGATTTCTGAGCATTCTGTTCCTCGGACTATTTATGAGAAATGGCTTTACCTAGGTCAGGAGATGACTCTTCTGGATGTGTTGCTCAGGACTTGGTCTAGATTTTTTGAGGAATAGAATGGTTCTCAGGACATCTGGCTAACAGGATGGGTGTGATCATAATACAGGTATCTCACAGTATTTTTCCTACCTCTATCTCCATTCAGAGAATCTTGGAGTCTCTATAACATCTTCTTTCACTAGTTTATTTCCTTCCTAACCACTGGCAGAAGATTGAATCTTACTAGTTTGACTACCAAATAATTAGTAATATCTTTCACAACAAATATTTTATGTATACATTGCTGATATTGACAAAATTATCTCTAATTATACTTCTTAAACAACAAATAAGACTTTATTCTGAATATAGTCAGAACATTTTTACTCTTCCAAAGCATAACAATATTTGATAACAAATCATCATTTATGGGTTTTCACATGTTTTGCTTTTCTCTTACCTACACAATATCCATCCTTGATTCTTGACACAATATCCTTTCCCAAAGATGATTATACCAAAAAGAACTTTTGGAATCTCTTAGACAATATGCAATACAATGTGATCTTTCTTCAATTTCCATTGAAAATAATCTCTACTTCTCCTCTTGTATTTATCAATATCTTCTATATACTTACAATTAAGACTTTGGTTAATCTCTGGAAACAAATTCATAAAATCATATGGGCAAAATTCTTTACTGCTCTCTGCCTAATATACAATTCCGTAAGTAAAAATTCTTTAACTATATTTAATATTTTAATGTTTGATAAATGGATAAAGGAATAATCCACTAGAAGCATGTATGTCCCTCAGTTAAATTTATTTTCCATTATTGTTTCATTTTTTTCTCCCTTTTAATGTGCATATCCTTTTATTTTATTGCTTATGTTTGGTTTAGTTTCTATTTATTCCTCTTCTGCCTTCATTTCCTTTCTTTTTCCACTTTTATACGAGCCATGATGCCTTACATGGTCATGCAATATTATAAAATGTTTATTATTATTACTTTAGTTTTGTATTTTACTTCAAAATAAATGAGTGATATGAATAAAAACACAGAACTAATTATTTATTACAAAGTCTAGGGAAATTTAACTGATTTTACCTCAGGAGGTTGTGGCTTTCATTAGAAAACTATGTGGTATAATTAAACAAAAAAATGTAAAGTTTAGAGATTCACTTATCAAATTATACCTAGCCTGTGAACACTACATTAAGTTGCAATTATGAACTCACCAGGTTATTTAGGCTAAGGTGTACAAAGAGTCACAAAAATATAAACTGTTGTCAAATTCATATAAAAAAGGCATGTTTACTATTATGAGACTGAACTACTATTAATCTCAGATAAGAAAATGCGTGAATCATTACACTGAATCAATTCTTTGAGTCATTTTAGTATTATGTGAATACTAACAGCTTGATGAATTATGAAATAATTTTCACAGCATGTTAAGGAACTTAAAATTAAAAAACTAGACAACCAGCCATCCATTTATCCTGTTTAAATATTGTAAGATATATAAGCTCATTAGAAACATCATAAAACAGGATTTGAAAGAGACATTTAAGTTTAAAAATTTTTGTCCTTAATTTATTATGCATGCAAGTGAATAATCAGCTAAATTTGTCTTCATAAGTTCCAAAATCATGTATATGAAATTTACTATTACCATTAAGCAATCCCTACATCTGTGGCTACTATAGCTGCTTCTGCTCTTCCCATCAATATCTGCTTTTACTCGAGTTATATTTCATGTAGTATCTACATTGTATGACAGTCATTTAAGCTTTGTGTTAATTCCCTGGATATCAGAGAGATTAAGTAGCTTTTCCAAGTTATAAAGCTAGTGAGGATTCAAACCCGTTTCTGCTGCTGGTCAATCTACATATAGGGACAAAGACATATGGTGTATCTAAAAAGACAAGTTAAAGAGAAATGAAGGACTTATAGTTGTTTCAAGTTAACTTCATAAATCTCAGAAGAAAATAATATCCGTTTCCTGTTTTCTCTATTTCTATGACTCACATATTGTTTACCAGATTCCTGGAAGCAACTATTATGCTCAGAGTGAGTGAGCAATACTCTCCTTACTCGTTGTTCTCTCCAGGTCAGTTCTGAAAATGTGAACTGCAATGGATGCTGTGAAGTCACATGCGTGTGTGTGTGTGTGTGTGTGTGTGTGTGTGTGTGTGTAACCTCTGATTATCATAACGGAATGTAGTCAAAAAGTGGCAGACAATGAACTAACCATGCATGAAGACATGTATTGTGAGGAAGTGTTAGAATGATCAGAAAAAGCAAGAGTATTTTGTCGAAACATTAAAAATGTTCAATAAGAAATTTATTCTGATGCTGGAAAATCCTTATGTTTTTTTTACTTACTGCTCTTTCCCCAAATCACCTAAGATCATTGGAGTTTCTTACAACTTTTTTTCTTAAAAAGTCTTTACATGGCAAAATAATGAACACCATTTTTTGGCTTCCAAAATTTAACTTGACATTTGAGCCATTTCCAGTAACTAGAACCATTTCTCTCAATCAGTACCAAAATCAAGTAAAAATGGATCAAAGACCTGGGTATAAAAACAGAAGCACAGAAACTGCTGGAAGATAAAAATAGGAAAAACATTGCCTTGGGACGATTTAGCTGGTGTATCTACCTCCTCTGTTGGGTCTCTGGAGAATCCTTGAACAGACATGAGCTACATTTAAGTGTGGAGTATACACATTTGGTACTTAGGTCGCAGTTGATATTACCACAAGTCATTAGACAAGGCCTTAAAAGCAGCCAGAGTGCCAGAAGCATAAAATATGAGGATATTTTATGAGCTATAAAATATGATGGCTCCGTGGGAGCTTGGATATCATTGAATCCAACTTCTCATTTTCCAAGAGAGGAAACAGGATCTATGAGATAAGGGTGCTCAAAGTCACTCAATCGACTAAGATTCTCCTAGAAACTAAAACTGAGGCATTCTAACTCCCCACTGACATCTACTTGTCATGAACACATTCTGAGAGTCACACTAAAATATTATGACTATTAAATTGCTGTGGTTTCAGCAACAATCAAGAAAATGCTATAATAGTTATATTTGTTTTTGAATCAAGTATATATACCTAGTTCAAGTTTGAGGTACTATCACAAACTAAGTTTTATACTATTTGAAACGTAATTTACAACTTAAATTAGAAACAGCTTTTTATTGGAAAGAGTTAATAGAAAACATAGATGAAAAACCTGATATTTGTTGATACCTCAAAAACAGTCCACATATGTTAGAGTAGTACATTGAGCTATTTTTTGCATTTGGTTTCCTGCATATTTTCCACAACATTCTAGGGGACAGCAATAATTTAAATGGAATCAGCTGGGATTTTCTAAATATTTTAAGAAAACCACAATTATCTTTTGCCCTCTTTCTAACCAAGAGCCCTCACTGGATAATATTTATTTTTGCTAAGTTGAAGAAAAGATTCAAAACTATTATGATACTGAATTCAATTAATCCATTAGATTACAAAGTATTTTTTCCTCCAACATCTTTCTTCTTGGTCACAGGAGGTAACTGTTTCTGTGGTACAAGGCAACTGTGAAATTTTGTAAGTATCAGTTAAAATGGCAACCATAGTTTCTTTCTCAATACTGTGACACTTTCCTGATAAAAGAGGCTCCTTTTCCACCAGGAGAACATCCTGTGGCATTCCCCATATCCATCTTATAACTGCTGGTGCTACATCCATCTTCAAACAATAGTTCTTTATTCAGAAACACTGAAAGTGTCATTGCTCGCAGAAATTCTTCTATTCTCAGAAATCACAGATAGAATCAGACATTTTCTTTTTATTCTTCAGTATTTCTTTCTTGAGAAATCATGAGAACATTACACAAAAAGAGGAACCGCTCTCCCCACAGATAATCCCACAGGCAGTATTGTCTGAATTTAATCACGACTTTATTGTTAGGTAGTTATGTCTGTAGAGAAGAGGACTGAGGAAGTAAGCCCTAAACTATTTGATGCTGGTTCCTCCAAACACTGTGTTTTTATGGTGCTTCATGTTTATCAAACTGCTTTCCTCTGGATATATTTGTACCACTGGACAAATGGCATGGTGCCAGAATTCTAAGACGGCCCCAAGATTCCGGCCTGAGGTCTGATGCCTTGAAGTCTCCCTTGCCTTGATTCTTTGCAGGTAATACGGGTATGATAAAATAGTTTGTCCTATTATCAAAGTTAAGTTCTATGAAAGACTCCATCTTAGCAGGCTTGAGAGTTTTCCTGCTGCCTGGAAAGAAACAAATGTCTACACTGGGAAAAGACCTCCAGAAAGTTACATAGTAATGGCATTCCTAAGAGCTGAGAACAATTCCCTGTGCACATTCAGCAAGAAAAATAGAAATCTTGGTCAGACATCTGCAAGGCAACAACTTCTAGCAGTAATTTCAATGAACTTAGAAATGTCAGTTCTCCTTCCGTAGTACTGTAATGCTCAACACTGATGATTATTTTTGATAGGTTTTTTCCTCTGTTAGTTAATAAGATGGATAATTGAAAGCAAAATTAAAGTGCTCCTTTAAAGTGCTCAATATAAAGTTTATTAATTCCACACCAGTTCTTTAGTATAAATATTTCTCAAGGTAAAATTAAATGTTAAATTGAAAATATTCCAAGAAAAACTTGACTCAGATGCTAATCTTCATCACTAAAGGTACAATATTCTGAGTAGTCAAGCTCAGGAAATGTGATAGGTAATTCAACCCACTTTTTGTATTGCTTCTTTTGTGAATTATCTTTGAAAACCACTACAAAATTCTTTATTTTGAGACAAGGAAAATCTAAGCCTTTGTGCACCATCATTATTCCCCAAGCCTGGAAAACAAAACAGAGAGTGACAGTAAAGTTAAATGTGCATTCAATCAAATACTCCCGGTAATCAAATAAAACTGAGCCTGTTACATTTACTCACTTGGCCACATTTGCAGATAATCTCTCCATTTGTTTGATAGTCAGCGAACTTACTTTGCAGTGCTTTGTTTTCTCTTGTAACATAGAGTCGCCTAAAATGATAAGGAAGAATCATCAGTAGGAATCGGCAAAATATCGATGTGCAGCCAGTGGCTCTGTGTTGGACCTGAGGCTCTTGCATACGCTTAGCATTTCACACCTCATTTCTTCTCCCTCCGCTTCCCAGGTCATTGTGGAAACTGAAGTTGATATCCTCTTTCTACTCAACTGTCAAGTGCCTTGTCTTTTGTGAGTTCTTCAGTTACGTTAGTTATTCTGAATTGATTTTTGTTGTTCAAAATTTTGAGAACAAACAAAAACATCCATAAATTCTGTGGATCAATATGTGCTTGAGTCTTAAATCTCTCCCTTCCAGCCCAGAACACATTATTTTAAAAACAAACTTAATATACAAATAAAGAATTAAAGTAGTTAAAAAAAGAGAGAGAAAAAAGGTTATGTTTTTTGCACTACTAGTCTGGTTTTTAATCTTACACATGGTAATTCACTTTATAAGTTCCTATGCAATAAATCAATGATATTAATCCTGGCATAATAAAAGAGGGATGGAAGGAAGGGGAAAAAAGAATCAAAATATGTTATGTACATGTACCAATTTACTATAATGGATAAAGTCATGTACTATAAACATGACTAATAAAAGTTTAAAAATTAGGAACTAAATTAAGTAAATAGAAAAACATTTGAAATGGGCATATAATTAGAGGGTGTAAAAAGAAGTTCTAAACAAAACTCTCACTTTCACAATTTGTGAAGAATATGGCAGTTCATTGCTAGTTGGAAAATATTCAAAGGGTCTTTGTGGACTCACTTGAATTCTTTTGTCATATTGACATGATGCATCCTCTCAATTACATGAATATCTTCCCCTGAGCAGGCTAGTATTTGACAGTTTTTACAGAGAAAAGTTATGGATGATGGGTTGTTCTTGAAATGCTTTACATTATTTCTCTTTGTTTTCATTTTATTTTCCATTATGTTTTGCATCTGGAATACCAAAATCTGCGTAGAGAAGAAATATTTAATTTTTTTATTTCATTATTCTGTTGAAATAGAGCTTCTGGAAATATTTGCAAATATCTTAAATAGTTAGAAAACTATACACTTAGCTAGTGGTCCAAGACATAAAAATAATGAGATTATGATTCCAGAGAAGTTCTTTGGTAATTATAATAAGTCCAAATAAAATGTAAAAATGTGTAAGAGCTGTTGGGTTAATGGCAGAGAAAATGCTTAAGATTCTCATCTTGCCCCTAGAAGTCTGACTTGATTTTAAAAAGTTTTGTTATCTAAGGTCTGCATATGACATGGAAAGTAAGTTTCACCTTATGTGCCAACTCCTACCATTTATTAGTAGCCAAATGAATACTGCATTTTACAAGGTTCACAAATCAGAAGAATGGAGTCATTTTCCTAGCAGCTGTCACTTCATAATAGTTTTTACCAGTTTTTGAGTGGTGTGGAGTGGCATGTGCCCTAAATCATTGTCATTCCTCTTACGCTCATGTAACTACTGCAGTCTCAGGACACAAAATCTCTTAGCCAAAGGAAAACTATAAAGGTATTTTATTTTGGGATACCTGAAAGGACTAGGTCTACTGTGATTTGAATATGGTTTGTTCCCCCAAATTTGATCAGATGTACAGTTCCCAAAGTTTTATGTAAATAGTGTTGTGTGTGAAGCTTAATGTGGCCATAATCATGAGCCAAAATAAACCTACTTTCTTTAAAAGTAACCTACCTCAGGGATATCATTATAGTAATAAAATACTGGTCAATGCATTATTTTATCCTAAAAATTGTCTGGGGCAATTTGACTCATAAACTCCAGAGATTTTCCTGGAGTTTACCTGAAAGAACTAATCTTGAAATATCAGCCTTAATAAATACCTACTTGATTCATTCTCTTAGGACATTACATGTGAGGCAGCAAATTCTGAGTGGAGTTATTTGATGAAAAAAGTTTGATTCTCCAAAATATTTGGTTTGCTTTATATTTAAAGGGGTTTTAAAATATAAATTTGAATAGAAACCTGGCCAGGAAACCTTGGAATTAGTTAAAGCTTTGCCACCAATTTGAAAGCAGCCCTTTCCTGAGACTCTATTTACGGTAGAGCCAATTCCAATGTTAAGAAACTAACATTCACACCCATATGCAAGGGTGTGAATTTTCGTCTAAATGGATTGTTTGCTATTATAGTAGTTACAGTCTTTAATTCAGTCATATGAAGGATTGCCTGAAATATTGCAGAATACATTCTTTCAGTATTCCTTCACACAATTCAAATAACCCTGTGAGTAAATTGAGGTGCAGCTAGAGGACATATTAAAATCATTCAGATGTAACCTCAATGTACTTCCCTAAGAGGCCTTCCTCAACCATCCAATCTAAAATAGCCATTGGTAACTTATTTTATATCATTATTTCCCAATTCTTTAGCACTTATCTTTATATGATTATATGTTGCTATTTAAATTATTTATTTGTTTCTCTTCTCCAAACCTCCCAAAGGACACATCTGTCTTTTTTGTGTTATTTCTGTGTTCTCTGAATCTAGAGCATTCCCTGGCACACAATAGGCATTTTATAAATATTTCTGGAATAAGAACAAATGTGCTTGTATGACAGAAAAGACTAAACTAACATTACAGAATTAGGTTAAATGGTTAAGCTGAGCTAGTCTTTTTGAATCAAGGAAATTTCAAATTTACCGAAGTTAATGGTTTATTTCCCTGGAAAACGCAAAGACTTCCTGACAATTTCCTGCCCACTTAAGATCTTAATTCTTTGTATGTGACTATGGACTAAACACAACTCATCAAACTGCAACTTATCTTTCAGTATAATTTCTGACTGGAGAAATAGCCAGAGACATTTCAAAGATAACAACATTGCAATAATTTTAAAATGAAAAGTAAGTTACAAGGTGGCCCAAAACAATACCTTCTGAGCATACTCCTCTGGGTTCATATTCTGAACATGATGGATAGCTTTATACATCATCTTCTCTCGAAAATCGTTAACTGTCTCACGTTCAACAACTCCCGAACCACTGTGGGCAACCAGGACATAAGTGCTCTCTTCAGCTCTGGCTCTACCTCGGGCCTGAGAATACAAAGCATTTCAACCTCATGAAAGGCTATGCCTTGCTAACTTTCCTGTGTCAGGCCTGAAATGATATTCCTTGCTCAATTTTAAAAAGTGAACTTAAATACAGAGAATACGTTCTACAGCAGTGATGGTCAGGCTTCCACCCCAACATTCAAAGGCCTCAATTACATAATGCTACACTGTCTGGCCCTCTTGTCCCCAGAGAAATCCTGTCAAACCATGGGAACCATAGCAGTTGTTTGGACTGGACGCCCTGCCACCCAGGAGGAATGAAGGAAGAGAATGGGCATCCTTGATCCTTGCTTCCAGGCTGGTGAGAATGTAAATCTGTTCCTGGCATCCCGCATTAGATTTTGAATTCCTCTTCCCATGGAACTATGCTCACTTCGAAGACAAACTTTTACAGACCTCCTTAGAAAATGTTGTTTCAAGTACATTTTGAATACTATAGGCTTTTTTGGCCTGGCTCAGGAGCTGAACTATCAGCTGTAATATCCTCAAGGAAAAATGCATTCCCAATGACAAATCCCTCTGATTTGCAAATCAATTCTTTAAATACTTCTTAATGTGATAGCTACTTGGTTATCTCAGCCCTCTTTGATAGGCCTTCCAGTTAAGGATGCAGTTTTAATGACTAACAAGAATCTTTTAGTTAATCTGGACTCTTATGGAAGAATGTTAGGACTCTTAATTAGCATAAGTCCTATACATACTCATCAAATGTAACTGTAGTACTATCAATAGAGGCAGATAAGACATAAGGCAAAATTTGAATGAAAACTTGGATATCTTGCTTTCTTATTTGTTTACTCCACTTGTAAGTCTGCCCTACTTAAGATTTCATCATGAAAGATTTTGAACATGTAGAAAAGTTGAAAAAATAAATGAAAGAAATACAGAAATAGTAGGGCTCCCTAAGGAGGTTACTTTGTGAGACATCTGTGGACAGTGTAGTTAAGATTCCTGGTCCCTCTAGGGAGTCACAAATATCTTTGGAATTAAGGAACTCTTCCGACTTTTACGAATAGGGCTACTGGCCTGGTTCAGAAAAATCTCAGGACACAGAAATAAGAGAAGACTTGTTTAAAAACATGCATAAATGAATTTCATTTGCATTAAATAACAGGAATATAAGTGGCAATACTTTACACTTCTTTAAAATTGTGTTTTTAAGTTGAGTATGCCTATAACTTGAGGCATATGCCTGTGACTCCGGCACTCTGAGAGGCCAAGGCAGGCAGACATCAAGTTCAAGGCCAGCCTGGGCAACTTAGTGAGATGCTGCCTTGAAATAAAAAATTAAAAGGCGTGTGGGTGTAGCTGATGTAGTTGGTTGAGGAAGCTCCAGATTCAATCCCCAGCATTATCAAAGATTAAAAAAATAAGATATTTTGTGCTATTTTACTAAGACCAAGTAATTAACATAGGCACACAAAAGTAAAACTTAATATATTAAAAAGAAAGATCTTAAAGTACCTGAACCATTGCTATTTCATTAGTGACAAGACTGTAACGGATAATAATATTACATTCCTTGATATCCAGACCTTCTTCTGCCACTGTGGTAGCGATAAGCAGATTTATTTTTCCAGTGCGAAATTTACTAATGACTTCTTTTTGTTCATTCTGTGGAAACATTTTATTAAATCAAATTTTGTGATGCTAAACACACGCAAAGCTTCTAATTAGAAGAAATAGTAAATTACAACTGGTCAGTGTAAATCAGGAGATTAGATCATACATGGATTTGTTGCCATCTGTTTTTTGGCATTGAACAAAGACACGATGGTGAGACAACATTTGATTTACAATCTGGGATTACTACACAATAATAAAAATATTTCCATCCTCCAGTCTGGAGGTGGAAAGAGCATCATTTATGCCAAGGAAATAACTGATGGTGGTTTGGGAGGATGAAAAGATGAGATGCTGTTGGCTGAGAAAGGTACAGTAATAAAATGTTAAAATTGGCTACTCTGTTTAGTAATTTAACTTCTGAATCTTTAATATTCTGAGAATATGATGCAGTGACACTTTTATAGGCTGTGAAGTTTTGAGTTACAGAGAAAATTATACTGCTTGCTGCATTCAGTTACTTTAATTTAAGGATCATTCAGACAAAAAAACTGTGACGTACTTCTGAAGGACCACATTGGCCGGAGAACTACAAGGGTAGAGAGCTATCTCATGCCTTATACCTTATTAATTGATCAAGATAAATATATGACCTATTCAAAGGGATAATATAAATAAAATGGAAGAATAGATTGCTAAATACACAATTATAACATGTATTTTTAAATGAAATAAAGTTTGAAAGTTGACATAAATATATTGAAATACGCCCTCTTGGCCTTGTATAGAATGAATAGGTGAGCTAAATCAAACTCTTTTGTATCTATACATTAAGTGGAACAAACTTCCTGCACCAACTGTGTGTTCTCCCTTCTTTCCCTTCTCTTTCTTCTTAGTTACATCAAGAGTTTTTAATTTGACTCCTAACTACTGAAGAACCCCGTAAAGACTCCTCAAGAGTCTTTGATAATTTTTTCCTAAGCACTCACATCTACTGATAAAAACTTAACACATTCTTGGATATTAGCAGAGCATGTCTGGGCCTTAATTCAAAGGGACAACTGTAATAATGAAGTTTCAGACACGGTGTCAGATCTTGCAGTCTCATCAAGGAGACTCTTAACTCCCCACTTCTGTGTCATCTCCTCCAGTTTACAAAGTAAGGATGTAGGAAGCGAGGAAGAGAGTTCGTTCTGTATTTTGCCACGTAGTTCTCAGATGAGAAGCAAATAAAGACTAAGTTGTTTAAAAATTGGCTTTTCATTTGAACCTCACCTCTTTTTAAACAGGAGCTAAGGCTACTTACAATAAAATCTATAACACTAAAGCTAATAAATAGAAACTGAAAAATAGACTCAAAGTAGAAGAGTATAGATGTATTACTGTAAGGATTAACAAAGAGATTATGAGACTAAACCAGTTTTGCCTTCAAGTTTCTTGGAAGCAAGGATAAAAAGCGACAAATTAACCAAATTCAACCAATTCTCATCCACTAAGAGGAAACAAACTCATTACTCAAGGAAAACAGTGTTTCCTCTGGCCCTGCATGTTAGAGGGAATTCTAATATAAGTGCATGCAAGGGGTATATTCAGAGTTATAGTGAACAATTGCACAAACTTGTTTTTTTCTGAGCACAAATTAGATAGATTTACTTCTCTCCATAGTTCTGAATTAAATGATCATGACCGAAATGAAGTGTCCTGTTGTCTGGTAAGACTCAGGGTTACTATGACTTTAGCCTTCAGAAGAGCCCTGCAGTAAGACAATGACTTACCCATGTTTGTAATGTCTACAAGTGTCATTTTTGTCTCCCAAGGACTTTGTTTTAAACTATTCACACAATAAGTAGTAGAGTGGAATGAAAAATAAAATAAAATGAAAAAAATAATAAAAGACAGAAATCCTTCCCAAACCCCAAATCTGTAACACATCAAATATTTTAATTTTATGAGTTCTCTTATAGGTTTCATGCTATGCATAATTATAATTATGAAGCATATATTTTCATGAAATTTTGATTTTTGTCACGTGATTTCATATGGTAATCATTTCTCTACATTGTTTTTTAAGTGTCACTCATTTTTGCAAAAGAAACCCAACTTAGAAAGTTCCTCCAAGTATGTGAAAAAAATCTACTGACGATATTTAGAGTATCACATACCATAGACTAGGTTGCTGCTAACCTTTATTCCAAGAATAAGTGTTTTATTTTGTAAATATGGTTGTAGTTGATTGAGAGAACTGATGAACAACATTACAAATAATTTTACAAGAGTGAAGACAGCATAAGAAATGAAGCGCAAACAGACGTTTATACCTGTGTCATATGCTTGAACTCGCTGCTGTGCCCAGCTCCAATCAGATGGTGGGCTTTGATGCCTACGTCTGCAAACTTTTCATTTTCAGCAATCCACTGGGAAAGGGCATATGCACTTTGTCGAGTTTTTGTAAAAATTATTCCACGTGTTGGTTTCTCAGTCCTTGTAAATTGTTCCAATATGGTATTCCTCAATTTGCTCAGCTTTTCATTTTCATGCTCTGGGTTATCAGCCAGTTTTTTCAACATTTTTTTGTTTTCTTTAAGAAAGAATTACAATTGCTAATGTTAATTAGCTTGATTTAGCCATTCTACTCATGTATGTATATATATTTCAAAACATCATGTTTTATATCATAAGTATGCACAATTTTTATTTTCAAGTTAACAAACAAGTAATTTAAAAAGTTATATGTAAAAATTAGTGTAAATTAGTAAAATATGTGAATAATTCAACTGAAAGATTTTATGTAGCGATAAACTGAGTTATGACTTATCTGTAGTTGATTATGCATTAAATCTAAAAACCAGGCTGCTCTAATTAATAAATTAACTTTGATGACAAAATGATAATAAAATGATCGATATGATCATACAACTAGTAACCTGATCACATCAACTGGAAACAGCCACAATGTAAAGTAATTTCTTTCAAAATTAATTTAAAGCAGGCTTTTGGGAATGCTTATAGGAAGCATAAGTAGCTTCATGTTAAACAGTTAAATGCATAAGACCACCCAACAGATTACCTTTGATCTTACCAAAAAATAAAGTCATGAGAAATCTATCTGTTTTATCTTCTTTCACCAGTCTCTTCGTATTGTCCTTATCTTTATCACCATCACAGCCATCATCATCACTGTCATCTTCCTGAACTGCAAACTTCTTTGCAGCCTCATCATGATAGAAAGTTTCAAGGTGATTGTATGCATCAATCATTCGGATTGTGTCATTGATTTGTAGGGCCTCATTATACTTCCTCAAATGTTCTGCACAGACACGGATTTTTCGATCTCCTTCTCTAGAAGCTAAGGAAGAATACAATATGTAAGTGAAATAGTGAGTGCACAAAACCTACATTGCGGGCAATATGTTATGACTCCAAAACTGGGTTCACTCTGGTTTTCAAATAATTAAGTTAAGGCTCAAAGTGCACCATGAATTCTAAGAGGGCTCAGGTTTTCTGACTCCTAGATTTGTCGTTTGAGCAATGTATCAGCAAAACCACACACTGGTTTCTGGATTCGTGGAGGAATGACATGCCAAACGTGTTAGTGGAGTGTGCCTTTGGAGATGGAGCTGTTAATATTTAGCAAAGATTTTAAACATTAGCTAAAAATCAATAAATGAAAGAGAAAACTGGCTGATTTGGGATGTCTTTCTTTAGATAAAGAATTAGAACAAAACACAGAAATTCTATTTGATATTCTATTTGCTTTCAGTTTGGTTGTGACTGTGTGATAGAATCACTGAAAATCTTGGTATAGAAATGGGATACACTGTTTGATCCAAAACTAAATTACCTTTTTTTTCCATTTGAATGGTCCATTGCTCATAATTTTGAGTTCCAAAATCTGACATCGAACTCACTTGGCAGTAAGCTTGAATGCTTGACATTATTTCTAGTAGTTTGTCTTTAAATGGATCCTAAAAATAAATTATACACATATTCTTATCTATCTATATTGTTAATGAATACCATTTTGCTAAAATAATTTACATGCTAATAATTTAGCTAAACATTTGTTTAGCTAAAGTAACAGGACAGCCTCTAATCACTTCTTTACACATAACATTTACTTCAGTCAGCTTCTTTTTTGACTCTCTAAGCCACACCCAACTAACATATACTGATAGAGACCACTTTGAAGCAGTTCTGAGCAGGATTAATAAACCAACTGGCTTTCTATGTTTACTTGTGAGTGTGTCCCAGCCTAAACTCCTTGTCTGGAGATGGACAGCAGATTCATAGTAAGTGAACTTCTATGAATCACTGGTCTCAGCTGAGGCCTATATCTGTGATGCTGTGACCCCCTCAAAGGACAAGATAAGGCCACAGCTGGGGATATCTGGCTCCAATCTCAGTTAGCTAAATAGAGACTATAATTTTAAGCTCCACTACTGCAGTAAATGTCAACCTGGAGATAAGCTTGTTCTCCTAAGTAGCATAATTTACTATTTGAAGAAGTCTTTGAACTGACTCCCAACATCTTGCTCAGTTTCCTCGGTATCCACTCATTTTGTTTGAAATCCAAATAAACATGACCTGCCCAGAGAAGTTCTTCGTCTCAGCCCCCAGTGAATCTTGAATTCTACTAGATTTTGATCCTCCTGGAGCCCTAAAATTAGACCTATTTATTTGTTTATTTAAACCTTCGATGTCCACCACTTCGGGACATTGCGGGTCTGAACAGTCTACAATAACGAATTTCTGCTAGCATTTCCAATTTAAAGATTTTACAAAAGTAAATGAATATTATAAGCCTAAATGTGAAACATAACTTTAAAAGACCTTGTGAGTTAATGTCACAGTTTAATTACAATGTCTACAATCTGTTAAAAAAAAAACATTCCTCTTTGAAGAACTGATTTCAGTATTATTTGTACCAAAATAAAAGGTTAAGATAGTTTGAAAAAGCCACATAAGCAAGGGTATATATGATTAGATTTATATAACATTCCAAATCAGTCAAAACCCATCGATAGTTAGAAATCAGGATGTTGGTTCTTTTTGCGAAAGAGTGATTGGAAGGAGAAATGAGGGAATTATTTTAAGCAAAAAAGATGGCAAATACTTTTTAAAAATATCCTGAGAAAGAATTTTCATGACTCAAAGCAGAAACATGCAGTTAAAATTATCAACTAAAACTAGTTGAATAATAAAAGACGGAAAGTGAATAAAGTATATTCAATTGTACCAGTACAATTCTCATAGTACTGTTTATCAAAATTAAAAAAATAATCTTTGAAAGTCGGTTACTAGTACTGTTTTAATACATATGATATTTCTAAGCAAAGTATTATCTACCGCATCTTTTTGAAGCCATGACTTTGTGTTTGCTCAGCAGGCATTTACACTACTGAGCTATATACCCAATCCTATGAAATACATTTTAAATGATATTAAAGTTATTAGTGATTTCAGTTAGCTATAATTTATCATGCTTTTTCAGTTTTACAGAAGAAATTAGTGATATAACGTGCTGTCCATAATGTCCAAATTGTTTCTCAGTTGATTGTTATAATCAGTAGAATATTTATCAGAAAGCACCATTAAAGTTTCATTTCTTTATAAAGGCAGTACTTTCCCCAAGAGGTAAATATGCAAATATGCAAATGAGGTATGATTTCCATTAAAATTGTCAACTATTATCTGGTAATAACAAAGTAACTCTGTTGGATGTCAGAAGATCAATGCCAGAATACATTAAGAAAGCAAAATTGAGGATAAAACCAACTGTCATAAATCCTCCAGATTATTTATACAACCTTTCCTTAACTAACCCTTCCAATGTTCCTATGTAAGAATTACTACCGAGCTACTATTTATACAAACCAGAAAATTAAAAGATAGATGGAGGAGTAAACAATATTGCTTTGCTACCCAATATTAATTTGAAAAGTACTGTAACTTGTTTTCAAAACTTGTTAAATACTATTATTTAAGCGGACAATACAAATTAGCCTTGCTATTCTTCAACTAAATGTGGTGTTACCAAGCATATAGGCTGAAAATATTAATACATACTTCTCTAGTGTCATCTGCAATCACAAACTTCTTACATGGCTCCTTTATTTGGTCTTTGAGTTGATTATAATAGTCTTTCACTGTTTTAATGGTAGATGCATCAAGATTGGCACAAATCTGGAAAATAGACATATTTAAATATTGAAATACCACTAAACAAAAAAAAATACTACTTCCTTATAATTGATTCAGCGTATATTTTTTTGTGAAAGAAGTTTGTAATGTTATTTGCTAAATATTTTAGTATTGCTTTACTGTGGATATCATTAACCAATATTTATCCTGATAGAATAAAAAGAACTTCTAAATCCAGTTAGTGGGAAGTTCTAGAAAAGAAGTATTTTTCTTTTCATCCCTTAATTTCCATTTTGCAGCTGAAAATTAGATATAAAAGAGTACAGCAATGTATAGAAATTGAGAAAATGGTAATGAGATAACTGTAGTACATAAGCATATTAAGGGTCAACTTGACATCTCTGGATCACATTATCAGCCTTTTCCACACATAAAGAAGACAGGACAAAGCTGGAAGCTGATTTAGCATTTGCAGATTGTAGATTACAGCTAATCCCTAATCCCAGTAATATATTACATTTTGGAGCCAATGACTATGCCTCTTGAATTTCTTTTTCTGCTAATGATTTTTACTAAATTCAACTTAGAGGAACTTAAAAATTCAAATGTGCCACATACTTTTGAATTACAATGATTCATTTAATACTTGAGACCAACAGAAGCACATGTTAATGAATTTTTACCCCTGTACTGGGGACTGAATTGAGGGTTTTCACACTGGGCTACATCTCCAGTCCTTCCCTTTATGTTTTCTTTTTCTTTCTTTCTTTCTTTCTTTCTTTCTTTCTTTCTTTCTTTCTTTCTTTCTTTCTTTCTTTCTTTCTTTCTTTCTTTCTTTTTTTCTTTCTTTCTTTCTTTCTTTTTCTTTCTCTCTCTCTCTCTCTCTCTCTCTCTCTCTCTCTCTCTCTCTCTCTCTCTCTCTCTTTCTTTCTTTCTTTCCCTTGAGACAGTTCTCTCTGAGTCTCTGAGTTGCCTAAACTGGGTTACATTTGTGATCATCCTGCCTCAGTCTCTCAGAGTGCTGGAAATACAGGTGTGTGCCACCATAGCCGATTAATGACTTACTTTTAAAATGTGTTCTTCAGCCTTGGCTTGCTTCGTGGCGCCTCCAACACCAGGTGAAGCTGTTAGACCTAATATCTGAGGCAGGGGAACCACTGATTTGTTTTCTTTCTGAAGTGCCTTATTTTTCAACTTCTGTTTCAGATAACGCCTCATGATGTTGTTATAGACATCTTCTTTGTTGGTGTGATGACATTCATCAATGATAATGAGGGAAAAATCTTAAAAGAGAAATTGAGTAGTTTATTTTCCCATGCACCAAGCTACAATGACAGAAATGTCGTAACCTATGAATTGCACAGCTGTGAAGTTTTCATGGCCAAGCTTCTCACACAATCTCCTTTGGTCTGTAGAAAGAAGTTTCACTATATAAAGCACCCACACAAAACAAGTCCATGTATACCAACCATGATAATGGTTAGATGTTATCCCTCTTTAATAAATGATAGCAAGAAAGTGCACAGGCCTAAAAATATACTAAGGAATGAAATTCACACTCTGCTTTATTGTAAAAAGCACCCAGGATTATACTTTTATTCTTTAGTAAAATATTTGATTTGGAAATTTTATTTTGATTACATAAGATGAAAACTGTGTTAAAGATGAATTTTATCTCGTATTCATATTGCTTTTAATTATTATACTTATTTTTGCTCTCGCCTTAACTTTCTCCTACCTTCTCAATTCACAGAAAATAAAAGGACTATATTTTTACTCTGTGGAGAAAAAGGCAGTTCTAACATAATCCACTAGCCAATAAAAATATTTGGAAGATATTTCAGAAATAAAGAATCCATGAGTGCTTGATTTAATAATGATATTGTTTTGCAGAACAAAGAGGCCTATTTGATGTGTGTGTGTGTGTGTGTGTGTGTGTAGTATTGAGGATTGAAATTGGAGTCTTTGCACTGAGCTATATTGCCAGACTTTTAAAAAAAATTTTTTATCTTGAGACAAAGTTTTCTAAATCACTAAGTTCACGCTGGGCTAAATCTTGGGATTCTCTTGCCTCAGATTCCCAGGGTTCTGGGATTATAGGTGTATGCCACCATGCCTGACTTACTTTTGTTTGCCTATTTTTCCCAGGAAATAGTTACTGAAAGCTTAATGAATGGAAGACAATCTGAACCAAGGTTAATTTTTATCAGCATTTATGATTCAACTAATAGAGTTGGTATTACTGACTATAATCCTGTTAGCATTTTTTTTTTTCTAAAAATAAGCATTTCAACCAACCTGATAGCTGGACACCGGCATCTTCTCCACTTTCTGAATTTAAGAGGGAGTTTTCAAGGATTTGAGCTGTACTGATAATAACATCATGGGATTTGACAACTTCTGGAAATGATATTTTCAGCTGAGTGTCACCACTTAATCCAGTAACACGATACCATTTCTTCAAAAATGGTTTGAACTCTTTAGTGAAGAGCTGTTCAACTAACATCACCTTAAAAATGAGAGGATTTAAAAACGAGAAAAAGAGAAAAAGTGAAGTCAGAGCAAAAAGAGTATCGCTCAAAGACCTACTATGTGCGAGACATTAGAAGTGTTTATATAATCAGTTAATTGGACATAACAACCTCTTCACCATCTCTTGCTTTCATCAGGAGGCATTTATTGTTTACTCGTTTGCTGTGGACATTGTAAAATATGTTTGGTGCCTTAGAGACATTCAGTCTAGCTGGACATATACATCAAGATTAAATAAAATTAAACACCTTATTGTAGCACAGTGTGATAATTCACTCAGGAAAAAACATACAAAGTGATAGCAAAGAGGAAGAAACAACCACCGCTTAAAGGAAGGATTTGGAGTGAATTTGATTCTGATAAACAATGCTTCAGTCAAGATTTAAATTGCAACGGATGTTGGATATGGAATGTATTATTATAATTTGTGGAGCAGGGCTACGCTGTGAACATTGGGCAGTGTATTTTAAATTCATAGAACAGATCACAGGAACCTTATGAGTTGTACCGTAGTGATGACTCACCCAGTTGTTTGTTTTGGGATCAAGCCTAAAGGGCTTGATGTCTTAAGGGCTGGAAAGGGCAGGGAACCAGGAGGGAAGAGTGAAGGCCCTGACTGGAAGAATGAATGGGAAGTGAAAGAATGAACGGCTGCCACAGCTTTGGTGATTGCAAAAAGACAAAATGGTAAATTGATGTGGCAAAGAAGTGGACGTTTTCCACCCTGTTCAGTTGCCTGTATGTTATAATGTCTAATGAGGTGGCTGGACTGACACCTCAGCGCTACACCTTACTATAAATCCAAATTCCTCTAGACCAGCAGAGATGAGGCAGCCCATCTTGAGGGGCTGATCCTAATAGGATTTGCCCAGTGAAAACCCAGAGGCACAAGTGTGACAAATAGAGGGCTGGCAGGAAGAGTTTCAAAGGCAAATTTCAACCATTCACAATTATGTCACTCTTAGTGTGATTACCTGACAATGTAATCAGTGGGTATCTTGCCAGTAATGTGCGGAATATCTGTTCTTCACCTTTTTACTTAAGGTGAATCTCATTTATGTGTTAAATATGGATTGACAATCCCATTGGCTGAGGCTAGCTACATATGGAGAGCATCACTTTAATTTTCAGTAGTGATTACGGAGGCTTCTAAGAATGGATGTGGAGAGGACAGTGAAGAAAGAGGTAACAGAATCCATAAACTCCAAGGGGGTCCTGGGGACCTAAAGTGAATAATTAAGGGTGAAGAGCACGAGAACTTTACATAAGGTGGAAAGACACTCAGAAAAACTGTCACAGTGTTTATTTTTTTCCCCAAAGGACACTCTTTCTGGTTTACCTGCCACCAAATCACTTAAGAGTTTTGGGAAGTACAGGTGCTAGAGTGCTACTCAAAAACTTCTGAATCTAGGGACTAACTCAGGACAGGGCCTTAAAATTTTCACTTAATGAAGTTCCCATATGATTGTTAAGGCCTTAAAATTAGAGCACTACAGCTTTTCACTCTGCTCCACAAAGCCATCCCTGACTGATTTTTTGCTACAAGTACTATTTCCACTATGTAAAACATACAGCATGATCTGGGATGGGAGTTGGGGAAAAAAAAAAAAAAAAAAACCCTCTGAGAAAGAGTATAAAATCGGCTGGTGGGAAAAGACAGCTTTCTCAGGAGGAGAGCGCTTGGAAAGAGCCACTCAAGTCACTGCATGTGGGTGACTTTGACAAAGTCTAGATCATTTCAGGCATCTTCATTTTCTCATCAAAAATAATCACGAAGGTTTACCTGTCACATGGTTAAATTAAGTAGAGGCTAACACATTGCTAGTACTCCAAAAATTTCTCTGCTATACCTTCCATCTTTCTAGCTGTAGAAGATGGCCAAAAAAAAAAAAAGGATCAGATGACTTCCTAAGAGAAAGGTTAAGATTTCATCTCCGCTTCTTATAATCACTGGGTGGTCCCAACGAGGCCAATTAAAACATTGGAGGCTCGACTTTCTGATGGGAAAAATGATTACCTTGGAATAACAATGTTGGTTTAATGAGATAATATATAGTAATATTTTCAAGTGTGGTAAAAATTTATTATAACCTAAACATAAACGTATCATTTTTTTAATTTATAGTTTCCTTGGGTATAGAATCTGCATTTGATTTATTTTTCAATACATTCATGCTGAATGACATAACCAATAATCTGTGTGCCATGGAATTACATAGCAACTTGAAGTCCTCCCATAAAAGTTGAGTCAAAACTTTCTAAAGGCAAGCAGCATTGTCTCATGTAGAGAACAAAAGGAATTTATCACTGGAGATAGGGGGAGATGGTGTTAGGATTCACTCTAAGTGGCACGGACTTCCTACTGAAGGACACAGAGAAAGCCAGATGCAAGCATGACATGGCTAATCAGGAGGTGTGTGGTCTCCTTGGAGCCTTTTCCTGAGATGTGACAGAGTGCTTGCCAAGACTAATCAAACCCAACTGCTCCCCACTTCTGCTGAATCATATGGGGCTGCACTGTAGCATCTGAAGGAACCTGGGATTTGTCTCTTGTGATGTGGAAGCCTTAGATAGGAAATGGAAAGTCTGGGAGCACAGGTGGTGTTTTCATTTCTCCCTGCATTTGAAAGTGATAACTCTGGAAAGGGCAGAGGAAGCGAAAGTAAATCGTATGAAGAAACAAGATTTCTCTTTTCTAGATCAAAGGTTACAGTATCTTGAGATATTGGGCTTAGGTACAGATTCAGGGTATTTTGATTTACTGGGCTAGAGATTTCCTAACCCGATTAAAAACAGCTGAAATTATGGTAAGATTCAAAGAAATGGGGGCAGATAACAATTATGGAATAAGTGGGAGGACTAGTGTAGGAATTCCTAGGAGGTCTGAGGAGAAAACAATAGAAAAGAAGATCGGGGCTTCGAGTTATGTCCTCAGATGTTCTCAGAACAGTACAGGGAACAATACAGATAAATTAGACGGCCATCCTCAAGAATCACCTATATATGGTGGGATGAGAGATTTCTGTCTAGACTAAAGCACTGAGAGAATGGGAGGTGCATTAGACAAAGACACGAGACCTGAAAGGATCAAATAAAATGAATGATTTCAAAAGATACACATAAGTATTTGCATTTGAGCTTAAAATTAATTGCATAAAAATAAGGGAGCTGTGGCTTAACAGGTTTCAAATGAAAAGAACTTAAGACTTTTAGAATGGCAAGGCAGATGAGTTTGTGGCTGTCAAGGGCAACCCATTCATAGGCAGAGGAAAGGTGAGATCTCATCTCTCCTGTACTCTGCTATGGTAAGACCATGTCTGTAGCATTTTCTTTCTCTGGACGTCATGTTTTAAAAGGGCCCAATAAACGTCTAAATGAGCAGGACAACTTAGAATAATGAAGAATCTGGAAAATATGCCCTATGTACAAAAATCAAGACTATGAATGCTTATCCTGGAGTAGGAGAGAAAAATAACATAGGATCTACAAGACATGGTTGTGAAGAGTTACTATGAGGCAAGAACATTAAAATTTACTCTATATAATCACAGAGGAAAGAATTATAACCAATGAGTGTGAGCATCAAAGAAACAAATTTGGTTCAACGTATGTATGACTTTCTAACAGTGTCAGTTTTCAAAGAAGGGCTAGATCCGTCTTTTTAGGTGAGATTGGCTTGATATGTGGAAGTTACCTAGCAGAAGTGAGACTACCACTCTGCAAAGAAAGAAAACTGGATCTCAAAGGATGCTTCCATCTCTGACCCTGTGACCAGATAAGGAAAAAACAGAAAGAGATGAATGAAAAACAATTCCTAGCCTTTGGGGCTATATGGTTTAGAGGAGGTGGTGTAATTAAAAAAGAGACAATAAGGAAAGGTGCTCTTTGAGAGGGTATATGGAGACGATGAATTTCAGAAAATGACAAAATGATCAATTGGCATAAAATATCAGTTTAAATAACTTTGAGGCCAACTATCTTTGTTCTTTTCTCCACATCTGGCACTTCTGGCTAAAAGGACTCAGGCCAAAGCATTTATTTCATTAATTGTAAAAGTGAGGTAAAAGGATAGAAGGAAGAGTTAATATTTTTTGGGTCTGACTGGGAATTTAGCTCAGTGGCTCATGTTCTTGCCGGGTAAATGCAAGATCATATATATATGAGTTCAATCATATATATATATATATGTATCAGACTTTTTCTCTACACACACATACAATCTAATTTGAGTTTCAGAATGTAATAGTTACTATTTTGTTAATTTTATGAGAACCAATTATGGATAAACAACTTGTCTGAACTACACTGGGAGGTGAAAATAGGATTCTAAATTATTTTATTTTAAAGGGTGATATCATTTATTGAAAAGTTATGGACAAATACAGTCTAATGAAGCACTACTATCATCAAACTAAGTAGATAAATAAAAGTGTTCTAAAAGTAGATATCAGGATGTAAAGGGAGCTCTTTAGGGTTACCAGAAACACACGAAGTGCATTTGGAATTACATGACAGAAATTACTCAAAGCATGGATTCTGAGTATATTCATTAGCATTTAAAAGCAGGTTAGTGTTAAAAGGTTTTTAATAACAGACATCTAAAACATGAGAAGTTTTATAGTCTTACTATATTCTATGTAAATGAAAACATAAGAAGGGAAAAAAGACTACTCTTGCTTGTGAACAGAATACTTACATTTATTCCATAAAATAGAAATAATTATCTTCTTGATCTACAAATTTATAAGTTAATAAATTCTCATTTATGTGAATAAAGCTTGAATAATTAGACTATTTTATAATGAAGAAAAAAAACTTCAGGTACAAGATACAAATTATCAAAGAAAAACTTCAGTTGCATTTAATGTTACATGTATATAGCACGTATAATCTTTGAACAGTGTTCATGTATATAAGTAAACCAAATATTCATTTAACTTACTTTTTATCCTCAAACTACATCATAATATATTCTAGATAAAGAGGTTTGGCCATCTTTGAGTGTCAGTTTTTAAAGAGACTCTAAAAGATAGTATTTGATCTAGATTCCAGAGATACTTTCAGATCACTCGTGTTTATATGCAGTGATAGCTTAAATCAGTTGCCACTGGAATACATTTTGGTAAATGCAATATTTATACATAGGTTATACCTATATTAATTTAACATTTTGGCTTCATAGGAAGGATACCATGCTAAGGCTAATCCCTTACTTGCTATATTATATTATGCTAAATTAAATTAAATCTCCTTGTTACATGGCTACAAATGTTATTACAGAAAAGAATAATACAAAGAAAATGAAGAAGAGATGTGACTTCTGTGTTGTTTGAGTACCTTATTGACAAGCACGATAACTTTTCCAGGCTCAGATGCTTGTCCCTTTTTATCCAAGTGATCCTTGGCAATGTAAACGGCTACTCGGGTTTTCCCGCTGCCTGTAGGAAGGCATATGATGATATTTTTTCCTTCCAAAGCTGGCTGGGCAACTTCCATTTGGTAAGACCTGAGCTTTAGTTCTGGCTCAGGAGATGCTCTTTTTGCCACATTCTCTTCATCTATAGAAAGTTAAAAAGAAAAAAGAGAGAGAAACAGTAAAATAACTAAGGCCAGGAAGCCTGTAATTGATCATAGGCCTCTGTGGCTTGTTTCCTTTTCAAACCTACCTTTTTTCTGTTTTCTGCACCCACAAATCAGTGGCTTCTCTGCATTTTCAGGTTATAGCCCAGAAACTGCATCGTGGAAGTGGAGTAGGGGTGTGTGCAAGGGAATGAGCTAACAGTATAGAGGCCTGGGGGTGCAGGAGCTGGGAGTTTGTTCTCAGAGAGTGCACAAAGCCAAAGGGATTTACAGAAATTGCTGCCGCGCAGGACTGACAGTTGTGGCTGTTAATGCATCAGCTTTCCTTGCCTTTGGTTAGCCATTGTGCCTTGTTTTTCTTAGCCCTTCCATCTAAAAAAGTCAGGAGGAACTAGAACAGTAGAACTCTTTGATCTGTATCACCTTTATTCTTTACTACATAGAAGATATTACAGCTGATATTGGCTCCTTTAATGGTCAAAAATTTGTCTGACAATGAAACGTGAAAAAACCATGTATATGTACAAACACACACACACACAGAGGAAGAGAGAGACTGAGAGAGAGAGAGAGAGAGAGAGAGAGAGAGAGAGAGAGAGTCTTTATGAAGAATTGGTTCTAAAACCCCTATGGATATCAAAATCTTCATCACATTCCCCCATACCCTTCAAATAATTTTTACATTGCTTATAATATCGAACGCAACGTAAATATTATGTAAATATTTGTCATTTTGCATTATCTAGGAGGCAATGATGAGAAGAAAAGTCTGTGCTTAGTATGAAAAGTGTTTTGATCGGCAGGTGGTTGAGTGTGCAGATGTGGAACCTGCATACAGGGTTTGTGTGTATGAAGTGTTCTTTTCCTACTTGAAGAAGTTACATTGTACAAGGCAATATCCAGAGAGTAGGAGAAAAATTCTTCTCATGCTACTCTTTAATTGTTAGGTTTTCAATTTTGGTTAAAGTAATTTTATTGCTTAGAAATAGATTATGACTAATTTTGCCACTTAGTTTTGATGTGTGAACTGTGTAACTTCCTTATATGTATACTACTACATATTAATAATTGTCCTGAAATCTAAAGCACAATATATTAAAATATTTCCAAATAAAATAATTTAGATAAATTGAAAGTAATGATAAAGTAGGTACTAACATACATTAGTTTTATGACTGTGAGGATAAGATTATTATGACATATCTGGGTTCAAATTTATTTTATCTATATTTGACAAGGCAGAAGATCTAAAAAGGTATAGCTTAAAAATTAATAGCAAAATAAATACTAATTTAAAAGTCTATCTTATGTTTTATATAATCACCAGAAAAAGTGAAGTGTCAGTACTTACCAGTATGCTCTTTCTCTTATCAATGATTATACTAAAACTAAACTAATATAATCCCATTAACTTCTAAAAAACTTGCTGATCGCTTCATTTCACCAACTGAATGATTCTACTTAAGTGAGTTTTAATTTGTTCTACTACCTGAATAGGTAGGAAAATTCACACCAAATACCACTTAGCAAGAATCGTCTACTCATCTGGCAGGAAGTTTGCTTTCTGTATGCATGAGTAAAGACAGATGCAAGACATTTAAGCTATCAGTGGATCATCTGCTGATTTACGTAATTTAATATGACTGTCATGAAAAACTCATATTAAGATCATCAGCATTTAAAATGCACATTTTACAAGTATTGTATCTGTGTTTGTTATGAACTCTGTAGTACTTTTAACAGTTCATTGTATTATGTTTATGTAAAATTCAGATTTATTTAAGAACATTACTTCTCTATTAAATACGTACATACATATATATATATTTTTCTTTTGTATAGGACATGGAACACATGACCTTGTGCTTGCCAAGCAGGCACTGTTCCATTGAGCTATATCCCTGGCCCAACTAAATGGTTTTATAATCCTAATATTTCATCTCCATTATGAGCATATATCATGTAACTTTCCAAAAAGAACTATATTTACAAGTTTATAAAGGAAGATGTATTTTCAGCAATGTCTAAAGCAAGATCCAGTAGTCTATACTTGCTAAATTGTTATTTGCTCAATAAAATTTGTTAGACGATATCAATGCATTCTTTTCATTGATTTTCACTGTGGAAATGTCTATGTAGATTTTAAAAACAACAAAATTCTGTCTTCCTAGTACCTTTCAACAATGATTTCTTATTTTGTTTTTCATATCCTTCAAAGTAACAAAGTTTAAAAAGAGAAATGTATATTCATATTCTAAATTTCTATCCTAAGAATGTAGAACCAAGTCCAATTAGTTAATATCACTTATGCATGTTAGGTATTTACTGTACTAATAAATTTAAGAAATAGAATATTAAAAGGCTTATTGTGTTCACAATGTAATCAAAACCAAACTCCAAAATGTGAAGTTGTTCTGTTAATTAACTGCTTGTGTACCACAAATTCATTTTTGTAAATATTTACCGAACACCTATTATCTGCCATAAACTGCCAAATAATACTCATTGTAAGGTATTTGGTCAGCTAGATACCTCCACAATCGTCTACATTTTTTAATTCAAGACAAAGAGATCTGATGAAAAACACCAAGTTTAAGAAAGAAGCACACAGTGGGTGTGTAAAAAAATTGAGTTGGATTCAGTGTGAGAATAGCATCCAAAGAAAAAGAGCTGGGTGCGTGTTAAATCTTCAGCCTGGTTCTTCCCTTACCACATCATCTGATATAGGGAAGGGAGAATTTACTCACATAATGAAAAAAAGAGTTTCTCTTCTGTGTAACCAGAAGGAGAAAACCGGGCTGATATCAGTGAATGAGGAGCCAATTTCCTTCATAAAAAAGAAATTTGGATTTTTGCTTGTTTGTTTATTTTTGTCTCTCTGAAAAGCATAATAAATTAAACATGATAATGAAAATAATACTTAAAACCCACGCAGGTTTTAAATTACTCATGAAATAATGATTGAAGACCTTAAAGCATGCTATACTACATAAATGGTCAGAAAAAATGAAATCAAATAGGATTTAAATAATAATATTCTATTGGAATTGCACCATGTGGCAAATTTCATTCTCACATTGATTTTGACAGCTGAGTTATTCTTGGAGAGAAAAGGTCTGTCACTGCATGTGTTTGAAATCGACAAAGTATTCCTTTACCTATAGTATGAAACCACAGAAAAACACACTATTCCATTTGGGCAAATATTAATAGACATTACCTTGAAATAGTAAGGAAACACTTTCTATATGTCAGGCCAATGTGTGTTGACACAAACATTGCCACTTTTGAGAAGTAGTATCTCTCTCTCTGAAAATGGGTAATGGAAAAACATGTTTCTTAATACAATTAGAATATTTAAACTTTAAGGAGCTCTGGTATAATACTTCCGCAGAGAGCATAATGTGATCATGTTGGCTCATTTCTATGATCTTATGGCATACTATATGATTTCTGGAGAAAGATGAGAGACATATCCAATAAGATATTTTTATGTAAACCTCAAAGATGAAAACATAATCATAAAACACTTTAATACTTTTTAAATGATTCATTATATATTTGAGAGGTCACAAATTTACAAAGATCTTTTATGGAATTGATCGTTAGTTTAACTATAGCATGCACCTGAGGATAAGGAATTTAATATTTTTATTATTTCATAATTTTGCTACTCACTATGCAAAGCAATTCTTTGTTCCTAAACACTAACCCATCAACACTTCAATAATGTCCCTTGAAAATGTGTTTGTCTTAAAGAGGTATTAGTCAAAATGTATTTGCTTTCCAAAAGTAGGCTGTATTTGGATTTATCACGTCTTTCATGCCACATTGAAGACTAAAATCAGCAAATACATTTGCTAACAGCTCTAAATAGGCAAGATGTCGTGCACATAGAGGCTATGCTTTAAATATTTATTGAATGAATAAATATTGTTGAAAAGCTCTTACTTAGACAAATAAAAATTAGGATGAGATCCAGAAGTTTAAAAATAATCAAGAAAGATGTTAAATATTACCTAGAATGTATTTTGAGATCTAGAATCAATAAAATGTAGTAGAAATGTTAATAATGTTAATTATTAAATCTAACAATTTTATGATAACAAAAACAAATACAATCTATAGAAATAAGCACATGATGAGAACTTAATGAACACTGATTTGATTATAAAATCATTAGCACTTATAAATTATAATTAAAGTTATCACTGACATTTGGTGAATTCTCTTTCCTCAAACTACTTTAAATTATTCTAAGTAATTCAAGACTGTGATTGTGATGGAAAAAAAATATAAATAGAAGCTTCAGTCCAGTGTAGAAAGTTTTTAGGGCACATGACCACCTTCATGTAAACTACTTTTCCCTGGTAGGCCTCTTACGTGCCTATATTTCTCTCCTTCTGATAGTGTAGGATGGTCTGAATTACAGAATTTTTTAAAGTGAAAAAAAGGAAATCACAAAAAAAGAATAAAATAATTTGTTTCTTCATTTGTCACTTTTCTCCTGCTTCTTATCTAGACATACTACAAAGCATTTTGTGATATATTAACTATAATTATGAATTATTTAAAAAATATGGACAAATACAGAGTTGTGTACAAAAGACATGCCAGAACTCATCACTCATACTTAGGGAATGATAATACTTCAGCTCAATAGTAACCATGGGATATGCACTTAAGCAATATAGAAAGAAATAAGGTGACTACCAAACTGACAAGTGAAAATCTGATAAAAAAGAAAATATTGCTGAAGGTGTGGGGGTTGAGAACAGGTGCTCTCATTTATTGCTGGTGTGATATACAACTAACATGGAGAGTAATTTGGAAATATCAAGTGAAGTTTTCATTTTGTGAATAAAATATTTTGTAAGCTCTATTCCCATTTAAAAGCTATGTGCACAAGCTAGAACTCTTAATGCAATTTCTAGCTCTTCTTTCTAAGAGAGGTCCTGCTTGTTATCTCCAGTCCTGTTTCTCTTGTTCATAGTGTTAATTTTTTTAATTTAAAATGAATTCTAATAAAAAGTAGCATTTTGAGATAGTTGAATGTACCAATTATGTACGGGGTTTAAGTGTGGTCCAAATTAAGTGAAACATCTCATAAATAAAGTAGATAGCATGGCTTTATGAAATGTGATATGTATCAGGCCAAAAAGATATGTAGTGGATCAAAATTAGGGCTTGGTTTTAAGACTTTTGTAAGTTGCACTTTTAAAGAAAATAAATGGCAAGGTTCCAAAGCAACCCAGTGTAGAAAAGAATTGCTTTAACTGCATAAATACATTAGGGAGGGTATGAACAGCCCCCATGCATCCCACTATATGGTGTCTTATCTCACACTTTTTAAGGTTTACACAACAGTTAGGCAGTACCTGAATCACTTCCCATGGTGCCTGAATCACTGCCCATGTTGCTGTTATGTCCAAGACTTTCATCTAAGCAGCTGACACTTCCTTCTGCCAAACTTGTGTCTGATTCTGCAAAGGAAAACATTTTAAAATATTTTAAAAATATTTCTAAGAATAAACGTATTTTAGCTGCACACCTCTACAGCACACAGTACATACAGTTCAACGCAAGTGGAGAAGGCATACTCAGACAATCACAAACAAAAGGTAAGAGTTTCTGGCAGGCTATAGTTTAAAAAAAAATCTACTATGAATGAGCAGCTGCTGGATGGTGACTCAAATACATATTATCTACTTAAAATGCTGTACAACCAATAAGAGAACCAATGCAAACATTTTTGAGAATTTATGTTTTTTGTCATCTCTCTACATGTACATTTTGTACCCCCGCCCAAAAGAATATCTATACTTGGTAATGGCTTTTAAATGAAAATTATTACATAGGAACCACTGAGCTATTTTCACGTGAAGTAGCAGTAAACTAATAAATTCTAAAAACAGAACTCTACTGATTAGTTGAAAAAATAATAGTTCAGTGACAAACATACATTCAAAACATCAAAACAGTTCTCAAAAAATATCACTAACATCTGGCATCGTAGTCATACTAAGCTTCTGTGATGTTAGAAATAAATATTTTTCTTTACTGTAATTAAACAGAGTTAATTTAAATCAAAGAGTTACAGTTAGTATGAATGGCTAGTACATACTCTTCCCTTCATCCCAATTTTTTCAGTAGCCAATATCAGTTCTTTTTGAATATCTTTTCCTCAGAAGAAGAATTTCTTCAATAGAGCTTATTCCCAAAGACATACAATTCATCCTCAATTAAAGCTAGAGTGAAACCAGTCAGAACAGGGTGCTCTGGTTCCTAGCAATGGTTTTGAAACCAGAAGAACTTGTGAGATTTGTTATTAACATTGCTCTCAGCCTACTTTCCTCTTACTGAAAATGGGCCTAATGTCATTTATCTCACAGGATTTGATAGCCATTAAGTACAAAAAAGCCTGTGGAGAAGTAACTTAACTGCTGGTAATTAGGAAATAAAATAAAAATCAAGTAAGCAGTATAATACTAGGGCAGAGACTCCATCTAATAATGTTTCCATTTAATAGCACTGCATAATACTTACCTGGTTACTATCATTTCACCCTATAGCTCCTCAATACACTAATAAGTTATATTGCCAGCCTTTAGTTATTTATAATTGCTGCTGCTAGACATTTAGGGTAAGCTATTGAAATGGACAGACCCTTCACATATTTAACAATACAACGTCTCCAGAAAATGATGCTATACAATTCTAATCTACAAGTATGTTCTGTTTTTTTTTTAACAAGCTAATTTTTCAAGTCAGATATTTCTTCTACTCTGTAGGACCCACTCTTTTTAGATGTGTAGTTGACAAGTTTGATAAATGGGTACAGCTTTGTAAGCACTGTGACAATGAAGACTTTTTTTATCACTCCAAAAATTTCCCATAAGCCCCATGTTAGTCAGTGCCCTCCTGGTATTCCCTGACAAGTATTGATCTGGTTTCTTTGCAGCATTGCCCTTTAAGAGCGGATTCATATAATATGTAATCTTTATATCTGGTTTTCTTAATTTAGCATAAGACTGAAATTCTTCCGTGTTGTTATATATCCTTAATTTCTTCCATTTTATTGTAGACTCGTATTTCATTGAACACTTGTGATATCTCACACGTTCTCCTTCCAATTTGGCTAAGCCTCTTTAGCCTGGACATTCAATTTCCTCCAACACTGACCAAATATATAATATTTCTTTCTTAAAAATTAAAAGAAAGCTAATAAGAAAGTTGTGGGAAAATTCTCAATGGACATGCATACTGTTTAAGTATATTAGCACAACATAAATACACTAATGTGAAAATACTGTGCTTATCAGTTGTCATAGATTAGCTCTAAAACTCGGATTTGAGGAATCCCTTATGATCACACAGGGAAACCTGTATATCTCACTGAGAGATTTTAAATATGGCACTTCGCAATTCCCAGAGGTATGCCTTGTTAGAAGCTCAGAGGCGAGTGTGGGATAGAACTGTCAAGTCGAAGAGCATTTTGGGCAGATGTACTGATGAAAAGAGAATATGATTTTGTAAGGAAAAGGCAAGGTGTAAAATGAGATGAGGAAAATGTCACTGCAAGGATAATTCCAGATCTGGAAATATAGGCCAAGATTTTTGAGGCAAAAAAGTAAATTTTGATATGCTTTCATTTGCTGTTTTAAATGAGAATTGAGAACTAAAGAGCTAATAACAGAATTAGTAAAAGGAAAAAAGAACCAAATTTGAAACTATATCATTATTGTTCTCCATTAATATCATTAAGTTCTCCATTAAATATAGTAGTGGAAATTATATTTGATTTTCACTTTATTTTCTAATTACTAACAATTAAAGCAAAATCTTAATCGTACTCTTAAACCAAAATCTTAAACCTACAAGTAATTTATTAATAAGCAAGTTGCTGCTCAAAATAAGGCATTGTTAAATTCATTATCTAAGTTATTTTGATCTCACAATCAAATCTGCAATGTGTCACAACTCAGTTTCACAGATGTATGCAGACTGTGTTTTAAAACTCTCAACATCCTCTGTGAAGCACTTGTTATCAGCTCAATCTTACAGACTGACATCAAGACTCAGAGAGGTTAAAAGGCTTATCTATGTCACACAGCTATTAAGCAGACTTCCCATTTTCTGAATGCTTGACCTGGGTTCCATAGGATTTTTTCCTCAATGTTAAGTAAGGCTGAAGCATTTTATGAAGCTTTGTAAACAAGCAGACAATTCTGCGTCTATAGTGTTGAGCGAAATGAAAGTTGCCTTTAAAAAAAGCAATGGAGATTTTCATTGTAATGACAAATTTTCCACCAAAATTAACACAAATTTTATCTTTCCAAGAAAAATACAAGTTAGCAAGATGATTATGCTTTTCTAACATTTCTGTATCAATAATAGACTGTCACTAACTTTATATTTCAATGTCCATGCTCATTTTGGGCACAAGTAAAAAAAGAACACTTCTGTCCTCGTTGCACAAAATTAATTGCAATATTTCTGCTAGAGATTATTATAAAAATAAAAGGGAATACATACAGCTCTATTTCTTTGTCACTTGAAGAGTATATAAATCTCTAGCTTCTCCATACAAAAATACTTTAGTTTCCTAGGCAGCAAAAGCTTATGCATTTTGATTTTTCCTTTCATAGAAATATTAACTACTAAAGGAAATAAATTTAATAAGAAAAGAAAATATATCTCTCATAAGTCTGTAAATGACTTCTTCAAAGATTTTACTCCTGCATTCACTTAAATTTATCACACACACACACACACACACACACACACACACACACACACACATTCAAGAAGTAAGATCAGCCAAGTACTTTTGTGATACAAAAACAAACATATTGAGTGTAGGTTCCAAAAATGTCCTGCAATTGACTTATTCAGGCTTATCTTGTCTTTGTACCTTTCAAGGTAAATCAATCTGGATTTAGGTTCTAATAAAGGAAATCCTGTGTATATGATTTCAAAGTAGAACATGTGAAGCAGTCAACTGGCACCAAGATGCTGCCATCAAAAATAACGGGGGTGGGAGTGACCCCATCATAACTCAGCGACTGCCATCAAGTAACTTAACCCTTTAAAGAATATAGATAGCAGTTTTTGCTTTTATTTATTATAGGAACGATTCTGTTCAATTAGGGAAAAGAAACTTGAAGAGAAAAAGGTCTCAAATGTTCCTGAAGTTGTGGCTTAACAGAGTTGAATATAGCAGTTAAGAGTGTGTGGTAGATTTAGTTAGCTTTTACCTAGGTGTTATTTTCTCTATGGAAAATAAACGATCCATGAATACACTAACAGTAATTCTATTTAAAGAAAAGTAATTATTCACGTCAAGTTCTATTAGAGTGAAAGAAAATTATACTAGTTGAGTTAAGAGGCAGAATATTCTGTAATGATTTTGTAAACAATACAAAAAGAACAGTTTTGCTTACGATGACAGTGTATGTTTTAAACCAATCCACGGGTCATGGGAAAAACTGCCTGTTTGGAAATGCTTCTTGAATATTTTGCTAATATGGCAGAAATATTAACTAGAATCCAAGAAATTTCATATTTATCATATCACAGACCTTTAATAGTTTAAAATATCTTTAAATCATTTTGAAACCAAAAATATTGAAGTTTAAAAAAATTCAAGAGAAAAACCTCTTGAAGACCTTTTCGAGGTCTATTTTAATGCTAAGTCTGCCCTCTGGTGGAAAATATTGATTTAACATGCAATGAACAAATGATACGGTGTTTAGAGCTAAACTTTGCTGAGTAGAATATAAATTGGTCCTTGCTTTTCTATTCAGATAACATCACTCCTGTTTTTAGTTTGGTTGCATTTTCCAAGCCACGGACTTGCCTTCATTTTTGCCGCTTGCCTCAGTGGATCATAGGTAGTCTTTTTGAAAAAGCAGTTTTGCGTTCCAACAGGAAACAACGAGAAAGTAAAAGGCCTCTTAAAAACTCCAGTTGCTTGGCTCTCCTAAGCTCTGTGCTTATAAGCTCATCAAGTCGTCTAATCTTGCTTTTCATGGTAATCGCCTGTTTGCTCTGGTTCTGACCTCACCATGCATTTTAGCAGTATCACACCTAAATACTCTGCCCTCCCACCAGCGCCGCAACCCTCTGCTTGGAACGCACATCTATACGTGGCCACACATATGGAGACTGCAAAGGCTTCATGTGCTCACTTTAGTACTACTTTTAATACTGATTTCCTTTACTATTAAAATAATTTAATCTTTTCTCCAAGGAAATAGATTCCTTTTATTTTCAGCTCTCTATATATGAAGCTACACACACACACACACACACAGACACACACACGCAGGCACGCACATGCACGCTCACATTTTGGTCTGTCAGATTTTGCTCTCTATGCCAGGGAACATGTGTTCCTGCAGAATGGAGAGAAGCCACCTCCACCCACCTTGCATATTCTCTTCTGGATCCAAGCTTCTAGGAAATGAGTTCCCCAAAGAGA